TTTTTTTTTTTTTTTTTTTTTGAAAAAAATTTAAAAATTAAGTTCTTTACAAAAAAAAAAAAAAAAGGAAATAAATTATATACAACTCGTTGGATGGTTGTATATAACATTTTTTAAAATTGTTTTTCTTAGTTGTTTGTTCCTAGTATTTTTGTTGTGCTTTAAGTTGTTTTCTCTGTATTTTTAAAAATTGCAATAAAATACATATTTATATATTTAAAAAATCTGACAATTCGTGACGACCTTATTTAGGAAGGCATTTGTCCCACTGGAAAGTAACTCTGAACTGCGGTTTCCTTTCAGCTACTTTATTTACCCACTTTTCTTGTATACCTCCTACACCCCTACATACTCACCATGGTCTACCCTTTTGGAATAACGAGGTTAGGCAGAGCGCAGGAAAGGAGTAAGAAATAGTAAGACAGACAAATTACAGGCCTGAGATACAAAAACCAAAGAAAATGTAGTAAAATAATGCTTTATTTATCATCAAATCACCATGTGGGATTAAGATTCTGAAAAGGAAGCTCCCATATAATATTTTACTAATTGTATGCAGATTTTTAAAAAAAATTACCTTGTGAGGCGCTATCAAAGGACTTGATGAGTGTCTTGACAGTGGGAGTCGGTTCCGAAGACGTGGAGGACCTGCGGCTCAAGCCCATGCCTTGCCTCAGAGCTGCTAAATCTCTTTCAACAGCGTTCATGTAGTTGTAAACTCGGCCGCGCTCCTCTTCTTGCCTAAATACCAGAGTAAACTCAACAAGGTGCGCTTTCACAGGTCTGACCGACTGACAGGTATGGGACTAAAAGCATCTGTGACACTGGGAACCACAACTTTACTAGAGAACGTATGCCTGAAGGATGCAGAGACAAGTTTATTGTCTAATCTTTTAAACGGCTGGAATTCTTAAGGGAAATAATAGGCACGCTGTCTTTTACTACGCGTAGCACATGGAACTAAGACAAAATGGAAACATTTTGGAATGAAGAGGGATGTTTCTTTTTACTTTTGGCAGTACTGTCAAAGCATGTTCTATGCTGTAATCTATGGATGTGATCAAGAGAGAGAGAGCAAGGCCTAAAGCAAAAATCCCAGAGTATATTTTATACTTAAATACATGAGTAAATAAAAAAAAAGTCAGACACTGTTCAGCCAGATACTCCTAAGAGGTGAGAAGATGGGGACAAAGGATTTAACAGAGAAGGGACATCACATTCATATCTATTTTTTGCTACCACTACCCCAATGAAAATTTAAGCTAAATTAAAACTAAAGACAAATTGTTACACAATGACAATTTTCAAAGCAAAGTTTTGAAAGTGACACAAATGTAAACAAATTAATTCCAAAATACTTCTGATACTGGACTTTACATAATGTTCGTCTGTAAGTCCTAAACATCTGTCAATTTCTTTCTAAATTAGAAGATTAGAAAAATCCAGGTAACTAGCCATTAATGTTTTAGAGACTTTTGTAACAAATATTTGGTAACTGACTCTGCCAATTTTCCATAGCAAGTGGGAAGTTTCTGCCCTGATTCTCAAGAGGTGGTTCTGATTTAGATATCCTCCATGTAAGGGCTGCTCCTCAGCCTGATGTTCACAAGGACCCTGGCTAAAGGCCTCCAGCACTTGCTCAGTAAGTAATGGAGGTAGAGCAGCGAGCGTAAGCTTTGGTTTGGCTTCGTTAGACGAGACAATTTTCAAAACAAAACAGACAGGAGGCTCTTACACTAGAACCAAAAGGGAAAACTTCCTAGTGAAGTTAAGAAGAGAATATCTTATGGGAATTGCACTTAGTTTTGAATGCCTTGAACGAAGACTGGTGTGGGAGTTGTGTCTAAGCATAGCCTCATACCTTTTTGTTGATAATATCGGCTACAGGTAGGCCTTGACTTACAACCACAATTGGGACCGGAATTTGCCTTGCTAAGCAATGTGGTAGTAAAGCGTGATGTCACATGACTGCATCACTTAGCGACAGCAATCCTAGTTGCCATCGTTAACCAAGAATTGTGGGTTGTTAAGCAAGTACCCACCCCAATCCAAGCCATTCTGGGCTTGGTCCTCCCCCCACCTGCCTATCTCCCCCTCCATCTCGGTCCTTTCGGCCACCCTGCACCACAAGCAGCTCCAGAACCGTGTGGCTCTGGTGCTGCTTGCCACATCCCAGGAAGCTGCAGCTGCTCCATCTGTCCCAGCCCAGTCCCAGCTGCAGCCACCCTTGCCACCCCTGCCACCCCACCCTCTGAGATCCCCGCCACCCTGTGCTCCACTGCCCCAGCTGACCTTCGCCATCTCGCTCCCGCTGCTGATGAGGTGCGCCCAGCCTGGCTGCTGAGCTGGGCTGAGGCTGGGCTTTGCGCTGCGTTGTGGCTCTGGGGCTCCTTTCTGCTTTTTTTTCCGCAGTGCTAAGCCCAGCCCCGGCCTGGCCCAGCAGCCAGGCTGGGCAAGCCTTGCCAGCAGTGGGAGCAAGAAGATGGCAAAGGTCAGCTGGGGCGGCAGAGTGCAGGGTAGCAGGGGGCCAAAAAGGCATAGATGGGAGAGGGAGATGGGGGGAACTGAAGTGCCTCTGCGGCTGTAAGCGCAAGCAGGCTGCCAAGTACCCGAATTTTGATCACGTGACCATGGGGGTGCTGCAATGTCTGTAACTTTGGGCATGGGTCATAAGTCTCTTCATTCAGCATTGACATAACTTTGAACGGTCGCTGAATGAATGGTCATAAGTCAAGGACTACTTGTACTCTATTTCTTTTTTGTCCTCAGTAGCTCCTCTGATATGAATTGATCCGTTCCAGTCTACTTCACTTCTGTAATTCTCAGAATGTCAATATTTAATCTGACATTTCTGTTCTCACAGCATCAGGTTTGCTTTGGTTCATGGTTCTGACCATGTATGTACACCATTGATACATTCCACGTAGCAATGGTGTACATACCTTTGCAGCACTGCATATTTTTTGCCTCCAGACACATCTTCAACTTTAATCCAGCCATATCATAAGCACTAGTACTACCTCTACCTGCCTTATGCTGTACACTAGGGGGCATAGCAAAGGTTTTAAATAGCTGTTTTAACTATTTTTTAATTATTATGATTGCTACTTTTCTTTTCCATTTCAGTTTTATATTAACCTAAAAAGCCACAATTTGAGTCTACAGAAACTGAGCAACTGTTTTTTTTCCCCCTAAAAGAAAGAAACTTAATATTAGAAAAATCTATAAATGCAGAAAACACTGAACATTTCAATCATTCTGGTAAACAACCTGGGGAATGTCCCACTGGGGAAGTAGAGTGGGGAAAGCAGAAAAGGCAAGCCCCACGCAGCCCCACAGCAAAGGAGATGGACAACGCAAATGGTGGAAACAATTAGGAGGAGGAGTGAGATCTTTGGGGGCACATCTCTTTCTTGTTTATGCTTCCTTCATTGGGTTCCATTTTCCTTTCTGTAGACTCAAAGGGGCAGGACAGTAAACAGCCCCAGGGCCCAGTCCAAATACTATGAAGGCAGCAAAAACTCATCTGAGGGAGGAAACGGGAAGAGGCATCTCTACTTCATCTTATCCAGTTAGAAAAGATGTTGCAGTCTATGAGCTGGAAGAAATAGCCAGTGTCTGGAGAAAACTAGTGGATGGGGCAAAATCAAGAAAAAGGAGGCCCTACCAAACTTACTGCTTTTATAAACCTCCTCTAACAGATGAGCAAAAAAGACTGTAGGTTATCAGATATTTTCCTATGTGTTCAGCAACTGCTTGCTGTGCAGCTTTCAGAAATTTAAGAAATTACCATAGGTAAACTATAAATGATAACGATAAATAAGTTTCATTAACATACTTGCGTGATTTTATTTCCTCTAACTCTTTTGTGAGCTTTTCATTCTTTTCTTGAGCTTCATGCAGCCTGCGCTTTAAGTCTCCAATTTCCTCCTGTGCTTCAGATTTTATGTCATTTGCAATGACCACAGCAGTCTGCAAGTCTGCTTGAAATTGCCGCCATTCTGCAGACTCTTCCTGAAAATAAGCAGATATAAGGCAGCCAGTTTCCAGGGAGGGAACTGATAAGAGTGCAATTCAACAGGAGGAAGACAAGGAGAAGCACTATCTTTTGAGAGACTGTGCGCTCAGCTGGGGGGGATGAAACCCTCACCACCTGAACAGCTGCTGATTGCAAGGCATGTGCCCCAAGAGCTGTTGTTGATGACCCATTGTGAATGAATAGCAAAGAAGAAGCTATACAAAATAAAAACTGCAACCAGTTTTAAGAAAACAAGTAAACTAAGTGACTGAATGGAATGTGTTGGGGGAGTTCCTTCAAATTTTCTCTGTAAGTGAACAGTCACAAAAATGAAGCCAGACATGCCTTTGCAGCCATGACCTATCATGCTTACGCCAAGTTTGTCTTCCTGCCTAAAAATAACCTGGCATATATTTGCAGCAAGCGCAGGCCTGTAAGATGCTTTGAGGATTGGTACAGTGAATGGCAAAGGACAATACTGATCAGCTCCAGCAAAGGAGGTTCTATAAGAAGAGCCAGTAAGAGATACCAACTCTCCAAACTGAAGAAGATCCAACAAAGGAGCAAGCCCAGTGGATGAAACTGACACGCAAATCCCAAAGCCGTAGAAGAAACTCTGCAGTTCTCAGGCCCCAAAGCTGTTAGGCCCTCCCAGAAAAAAAACTATGCTCTGAGGTTTTAGAGAAGAAAGAGAGACAACTAAAGTACAGGAGAGAAGGATGACTGTAGAGGGAAGAGAAAAGGGATGATTAGCAACTCAATACTCTGAGGAACAGAAACAAATATACACTGGCCTGTTTCAGATATGCCTGCTTACTAGGAGCGTGAATGAAGAATGTGACAAAACAACTACCAAAACTTATTAAATCCACTTTCAGTTATTCATTCCTGATAATCCATGTGGGGACAAATGATATGTGGTATCTCACAATCAAGAGAGGAAGCTGAAAAACCCTGCGGCTCTGATGGTGTTCGCTTCCACCCTTCTGACCCATGGAGGAGGACTGAGAAGGGAAAGAAGCTGCAGCACAGCAACCAATGACCTACTGATCATGCAAACAGTGTTGATGAGGAGATCTGCTTTTTGGGAGCATCGTTTCAGTTATCTGAACGATGGGTTGCTAGCACAGAATGGGTTGCACCTGACAAAGGAATGTGTTTGGCCAAAGCATATTGAGCTTGTTCAGAAAAGCTTTAAGCTGAATCTCATGAGGTCTGACACTGAAAATCCAGAAGAACATCAGTTAAAGACATGAACATATTTGCAAGTGGGATGTCACTGTAGAAAAAGTGGGAATGATGGTTCAACAAACATTTATTTATTTGCTTGCATGCCACCCATTCCCAAAAAAGCTCAGGTTGGCTAATAGTATCAACATAAAACAAAACAAAACAAAACCCATCAGAACTGGAGCTGTGCATGTGGAAAGATAATTTGGAAGAAGTGCTTTGAACTTCATGTGAGCATCTCCCTGATATTCATGAAGGAGCCCAACAACGTTCAGGCTTCCGTGTGAGCCTGAAAACATGTGGCTGTTTTAAGGAACTGACTTGCTAAAGTATATTGCCAGCTGCCTACATGCCAATGGATTGTGGTACTGTAGTCTGACTCAGACTTCTCCAATCTGAGAGCCGTCAGGCAACTGTGAAGGGCAGAATGAAGGGGTGGACTGAAGCTTCAGAATGATAAAAAAGATGGTGAGGGAGGGGGATGTGATACAGCAACAACTTAAAATGATAAATTAATGTGATCCATCCAGGCCCAAAATAAAGCTAACGATTGTACTCGGGTTAGGGCTGGGCAAGAAATAAATATACAGTATGCTGTGTATCAAATAAAGCAATGATAGAATTATACAACTTCATAAAATAAAACCATTTCATTGGAAAGAAACAAAAATGATCAAATTTAAAACGGTATTTAAATGGCAGAAAGAAGACAAAACAATGTTCCAGCAAACACAAAGCTACCTTTCTTCATGTTTTAAGAAATGAAAACACTACTGACACTTCTTTCATGTTGTTAGCTGTTTCTGATACTAAAAATACCATTTATTTATTTTATATATTTATTTATTTTATATATCAAATTCGTCACCGCCCATCTCGTTGAACAACTGAGTGGTTTACAAAACAATTAAAATCAATTAAAATGACAAAATTACAGTAATAAATAGAAAATAAATAGATCCAAGAATAATTGGCAGTCACTCAGGGAGCGTCATCAA